TCACACGCTTGAGGTATTCGGCCAATCACAACGCACTGGATAGCTGGCCAATCACAGCACACCTCGCTTTTCAGACCGATGAGCTTTGTAAAAATCGACGCGTTTCAAAAAGGCGGGGCATAGAGGAGAAACAATAATGTACAGTATGTGGAAAATAATGTGTTTTTTTTACTTTAAACCGCATAAACACATTTCATTACACCAAATACACAAAATAATATTCTTTTTAGCAGCATCATATGACCCCTTTAAAGCCGGTCTAGAGAGGTGCATGTCTAATAAGAATAGGCCGTGACTGTGATGTATGTAATGTAAGTACATTTGATGTAAGTACATTTACTTGAGTGTTGTACTTAAGAACACTTTTTGAGTATCTGTACTGTACTTGAGTATTATTTTTTTCTGGAAACTTTACTGACGAGCTGCGCAAAAAATCGCGCGAATATGAACGTGGTTTTGCGCAGCTCGTCAGTGAACAACGGCTCTGTGTAGTTAATGCTGCTCAATGTGAAAGCACGCACATGATGGACATTTACCGCTGATTACAGAACCGGCTTTTCTGACAAGATGCGTGTTAAATATCGCATGCGATTTATCGTGCAGCCCTAATTCAAGTTATTGCTGCTAAAAGTGGATCTACAGGCAACTGAATCATAGGGTGTCCTAACTTTGTCACACATGGTTTATCGATTTTGGCCTAATTTTTGTTAATTAAATAACACCGTGATATGTAATGTGATGTTGCATATCTGAGGTTTTATTTCCCAAATTTTAAGACCTGCCAAGGACCAGATAATTTATTATGTCCTGATACAGAAAACCATGGAATTCAATAGGGTGTCCTAAATTTGTCACATGACGACTATATATATATTTTTCCCCATAGGTTTTTAACATTCTAAAAGCTCTTTATTCCAAAGATACTACAAGCTAGTCAGTGTATTCAGTAGGTGTAATGTATTGTAAGTTGCTTCAGAGGTATTGCAAATATTACGTACAACAATAATAAAATAGTGCCATATAGACATAAAAAAGGAAATTTACTTTTGGTACTTAAGTACTTTTAAAAGCAAGTACTTCTGTACTTTTACTTAAGTAAAAATCTGTCTTTACAACTTTTACTTGTAATGGAATAATATTTGACCAGCAGTATGTACTTTCACTCAAGTAATGGAGTTGTGTACTTTGTTCGCCTCCGGATGTATGCATGTAACTTCCAGTTACTTTCATCAAATTTGAAAGCCCATGTGTTCAAAGTAACCGTGCTTCTCTTGAATCTTCATGCCCCATCAGATTCGACTGGAAAATTGCTCACAAATCCAAACTTTCATGCCAATCTGTGAGCAGACTATGGAAAAGCCTGTCTGTGGCCTGATTTTAAAACTGGCGGAAAACAGTGTCTTCCTGACACACTCTTCCTTCACAGCGCTGTTCAACTAGGAGAATTTGCATAATGCTTACACTCAAAATACACCAAGCGGCACGTTGGCTCCAGACGTGGACATCACCAACCAGATTCTGTAATTGGTCCAGTGAGAATTCAGCCGTGCACAGAGCCTTCAAAACCATCATGGGGACTGTGGGCACCAGCTGTACTGACCCATTTGGATGACAGCAGACAAAAAGAAAACACATTCTGGTAGAGCATTGTTAATGGGCTGTACATGGTGGGTTGCACAGGACAGCTGTGTGCCACTCTCCCCAGAGCTCCCTAAATGTTGCCTGCCTAAACATCATGTTCTAGTTTCTTAATAAGCAGAAGTGAGTGTGTATTAGTTGGAATTCCAGAATATGACTGTACTGAGTTGAAATAGTTTACCTCAAAATTAAAATTCTATCATTTTTATGCTTTATGTTATTCCAAAACTGTACGACCGTTTCTTCTGTGGCACATAATTTTTTTTTTTTTTTGAGAAATGTCAGTTGTTGTTGTCTTTGTTCTCTCCATACAATGGAAGTCAATGGTAACCCAAACAGGGACAGAAAATATAATTTGACTAACTAAATTTGCCTCTCTTTAGTGTAATCTTATATGATCTGCTTTTAAATTTAGAATTTTTCTGTTGCATGGCAAGCATGCACAGATGAACTAAGTAAACTTTGTGCTTCATTTTATTTGAATTACATGTTATAGCTGCATTCACAGTGCCAATGGGAGTATAGTCTGTCCTCCTTGTTAGGCCTGCATTCCTTAGTCTTCTCTTTAAGGTGCTCAGACTCAGGAAAATGTTATGCATTGTTCCAAGAAAATCAAGGATCATTTCATATGTGTGGCCCTCTGAGAAATATTTATGGATTAGGCCTGCCTCTGTGATTTCATCTAATACGGTTCCTGAGCCTGAAGGGAAAAGAGAACAATGTCATTAGGAATGCAGGAATCCACAAATATAATCTTAAACATAAAAATGTATCAGCATTAACAAAGAAATAAACAAGTTAACGGTTTGATACAGTTTTAAAGGTGTATGTATTTAATCTCAATTTGTGCACAAATCTAGTTAGTAAAAGAACAAGAACAACAACTGGCATTGGACGGGCATTTAAGCGTACCGCTTTTAACAGTTAGGTCGTATTGGGAGGTCTATGTTGATGTTGAAAAAAAAAAACGTGCAATGTATTTGTGTTTAGTTCTGTATGTCATACTATAACCTGGTTCAACTTGTTAATAAATTTGTATACATGTGATTATGTGTGACAAAGTCTGTTTGTCACAATCAGAAACAGAGAGAAAAAGATTAACTAAATGTAGTTCTTATAATTTAATGGACAGAACAGTATATAGGGATCTCAGTAAGAGAATATTACCTCTGGGCACAGTCTGACATGACACCTGGTCATCACCCGCCGTTCTAGGGGCATTCTCTACGACAAAGCTTACATCTCGCCCACATGAACTGCAAAATCTTGGCAAAGTCGGCCATTGGATGCCACAGAAAGGGCAATACATTTTGATCTGAAAAACAAAAACAAGTTGACTGAAGTTTGTACGTTGTATTTGTATTCCATTGTCCCTTTCATTAGCCTACTAAAAGGCCCTGAATAAAATTTTAAATATTATTCTTACTGTCAATCTGCAACTTATTTTGACCTGGTTTTAACAATTAATGAAGCATTGCGGATTTCATTAACCTTGAAATTATATTTAGTTGAGGATATTCAATTAAGTTAGCCATCTTATATAATAACGTTTCACAGTTAATCGTGTAATTCGTCAGATTATTTAGGCTAATAATATACAAAAGACAAAGGAATCATGCAATCAGGGTGTTAAAATAAACAAAAAAGCTCACCTTTCAGTTCACCAACAACTCCACTGACCAATAGCCACTGCACAATAAGCAAATCCCAGCCGGGTCCGTCACTTTTTTGGGTCCCCTTGAAACGTTTCCGTTGTGGTCCGTGCTATCTGCAGCGCGTTTCTTCATTTGCATGTGCTGTGAGGATTTGCAGCGCGTTTCTTCATTTGCATGTGTTGTGAGGATTTGCAGCGCGTGTGTTGTCAAACTGATGAAGATGTTTTCTTAATTTGCTGGTGTTTTTTCAATTTGCATGTGTTTTCTTAAGTTGCAGCGCGTTGAGCTCTCTCGGCCACCGTAGTTTTGCTCTATTTCGTCAACAAAAATAGCCTAGTTCAAAAACAAAGTCACAGCTGAGCCGCTGTTTTAAAACATTAATCTCATAACATTCTTATGAGATGCATTAATGCCATCTCCGAGTCTTGTCAAAAATTCTGTAAATATTCCTTAATGCCACATTTGTGCTCTTCTGTGCCATGCAAAGATGAATTGTTGATTCTGATTTCATTTGACTGGTAACTTATTCTTCCTGATTGCATCTTATTATTTTAATGTAATTTAATGTTTAATTAAATTTTTTTAAGAATAATTTATAAATCTAAATTTTTGGCACAAAAGATGACATACATTTAATAAAGTTAGAAAAATGGCATTACAAAGTAAAAAAAAAAAGGATTTCTTTCTGTCATTGATCAGAAGGTGTCTGTTCCTATTGTTTTTTTTTCTTTTACTTTTTTAAGTAGGAGCACTTAGTGCTCCTGAAAAGAAATGTAAGCATAGAGTCCTTATAATGTTAAAAAATAAATGCAAACGTTTTTGCAAAATGTAAACTATTAAATATAATCAACAAATCATGCAATACTGTACCAGTAAATAAGAAGTGTTTTGAGGGCTTAGCTAAACAGGCCAATTAGAGACACTAATCCTTCTCATTTTGTATTAAATCATTCTTTAATTTCACCAATCAATCTTTTTTTTTTTATTATTGAACACAGGGGGTCATTAATGATGCTTACATTATAACATGTGCAAATTCACACACAACGTATCTTTAATTTGGCCAGAATTGCAGGTGCTTGTCTTAATATAGTTGTTAATAAATGTTATTATAGATGATAAAGTGTTTTATAATTAAATACATCCGAAAGGTCATCTAAAATTACCATTATTACCCCCCTGCCCCCTTTCCAAGCTAGAGTCCCCCCAGTGAATTCTGGCCATTTCCACCACTGACTATATATATATATATATATATATATGGTTGGGAGAAGGTGTAACCAACATATTGGAATTCAAACACCTAACATTTTCATGAATCCCAACAATTTATGTCAGAATGGACTACAAAACAAAGAACATTTTAGAGCAAGTAATGTTCTGTGTTCATAGGTTTACTGAACATGCAGGGACTGGGATGCTGGGGGGAAAAGACAAAATCAGGTTGATTTAAATCATAGACTAGACTACTATCGCACTGGGCCAGTGCACATGCATAGATACGTCCATCATTTCAAGTTGTCATGACAACAGCCCGGTTCCAACTGGTATCCACCTTTTTATCTACGCCCCATGACGCTTTGCGCAAATAATGGGAGTAACTTCCCTTTACACTGTAAACAACCAGTAAAGGTTTGGCTCTATGAACACAATAATAAGCATTTTCAAAAACGGTACAATGAGGTGATATTATTTAACTCACCCTTCAACCACCGATCATTAAAAGGATATTTAAAAGTGTAAAAACATTAACAAATTAACTCCTAAAGATCCTCCTATCTGCAGCAATATTACGGACATGTTAAATATCATTATAGTAATATGTCTTACAGCATTGTGAAAAAAAACATTATTCAGCATTGTGAAAAAAAACTTTAAAAAATGCATAACATTTTAAAGAATATTAAAAATCTTTGTTTGTTTGTTTGTAATAATTGAAGCACTACAGAATTCTGGGCTCTCTGTCAACATCTGTGGTTGGCAGATGCAACTGAAAAAGACAATTAAAAGAACCAATTGTCACGGGTCTACTGCTGCGCGGAGTCAGGAGCAAGGAACGGAGAGAGACGAGGAGTACATTAATCCAAATGGGTTTAATTAACACAAAGGAACACTCACGCTATACATGACATGAACAATACCGGACGCTGGAGCACACACAGTGTTTATACACTATTTATACACACAGGAGGAGGGGATGTCGACCCTGATAGCAACAGACTCCGGGGCGGATCCGCCCGCAAGCCGGCAGCTCCGCTGTACTGTCAGACTCTGTTCGGTCATTCGCCCAGAATATGCCCCGCCTCCGGACAGCGCACTGTCAGTTAGCGGACTCATTATGGACACTGCGCGGATTAGCAATCCGGACGCGTTTTTTTTTTTTTCGCCAGGTTGAAGAAGACTGAACTCGGTAAGAATACTTGTAAAATATGCTTTATTTGTACAGTTGCCAGTAACATTAACATTGATAAAGTTGTTAATTGATTGAAATTAATTTTTGAAATTGCGTTGTGGAATGTTAAGGTTAGCTCTTTAGCATTATTAGCATTATCATAGATTTGAGTAAGTTAACAATAGGCCTATTTGGATGGGATCTCCCTTCTTTCTGTGAGACGGGTAGTTTAGTTGGCTATCCGGATTTAAATCGTATATGTAACGTTAGGTAATTTTTCACCCCTCTTCAGGCATTTTGGTTCTAGAATATTAGTTCAAGTCTATTTTTATTTATATTTCGACAAATATATTCCCCACCTCTCACCTCTCCTTTGTTTTAGTAACGTTACATATGAAATAAACTAGCGGACTCATTACGGAGGCTGGTCGGAGGTCGGATCCGAACGCGCTTTTTTCTAACAGTCGCGTCTCTGAAATCAAATCAAATCCTCCTCAGAGTGCTGAAGCTGCGGCCGGCCAGTTTGAAGAGGACTGAACACGGCAAGAACACTGTTTAAATATGCTTTATATGTACAGTTGCCAGTAACATTAAGGTTAATAAAGTAGTTGATTGCTTTGTTGGCATTTTTAATTGTGAAATTGCGTTGTGGAACGTTAGCTCTTCAGCACATTAGCATTATCGTAGAT